TGAAAGCCGAGCTAAGGCCTGGTAAAGGAGGTGAGAGAAGCAAGAGAGAGCATGTGCCATGCAGAAGCAACGGAAAATGCAAAGGCAAATAAAGGCAAAGAAGCAGACACAGGGCAGAGGAACTGAAAGAAGTTCGATGCGGCTGAGTTCTAGGCTGGGCAGACTTATAAAGAACCAAAGCTGGACAGGAAACGGGGATTGTGTACACAGCCTACATGCTAACTTAAGGAGTTTACACTTCACAGGAGGTCAGTGGGAAGCCACAGAAGGGGTGTAGCAAGGCTACACTGATCAGATAGCTGACAAAGACTGAAGAAGCAAACCCAGACACTACCAAAGTCATCCTAGTACAGCAATAGGGATGGAACGACATGGAAAAAACCAACCACTCTTTAGAACCAGCGAACTTCTAGGTTTGAAGCTTGAAGAGCTTAGGACATTGAACAGCACAAACAGGCACCAAAGCAAGGTCAACTGGGACTCGTTTGGAAAGTTTGAAGCCAACGTGCTCAGCAAGAGGCATGGCCGCCATCCCCCAACTCTGTTCTAGACTGACAATGACACCAAGCACAGCACCTGAATGAGAAACCTACTAGCAAACGACAAATATACTGGACATACTCCGATTCCAATCTCATCTCTGCTCCCAAGCTCACCATAGGTCCACGGGCATGTTTCTCGGTCCTCAGGGCCTGCTTAATCAGCTGTTACCATGAAACCAGAGAGGCCTCAGTGCAGCCAGTCACCAGAACCAACCTGGGCTGGTGCTCAGGGAAAGCAGATGGATGACTGTATACATGACCCACTCTGTCTAGTAGGTCACTATAGGTTCTTCCAGCAGGGGAATCAGATAAATCAGACTATTCTCAAAGGCCTGAACTTGGGACATCTAAAAACAACTGCCTGTTTATTTGGGATTACCAAGGAGAAAGGTCTGAACGTTTGCTTCCTTGTTGATAATAGGCCAAGTCATGCTAAAAACACTACCAGATACAGCAGCCTGGGAAGAAGGGAGTCAGTAAAACCCCCACTCCCCTAAATAAGTGGCAGAACGGATCCAAAAGTTTGGCTTGCTCATTGGGCTCTCTTTTCAGGCATCAGAAGATATGAGAGAGAATAATTTACCCCACAAGTAACTGCAAAATAAACTCATTTTGTTTTTTTTTCTTTCTATGACAGTAAAACAGAGGAAATAACACTTAACAAAGACGTGAGACAGCCAGGAAGTACAGAGGGACAACAAGACAAGTCCCTGATGGTAGCTGGGTCATGAGCTGGTTTCTAACTCCTCAGTCTCTGCTGCTCACTGCAGCTACAAGAGTCTCTCTGCCCCCGCTGTGGCTCTGCACTGCAGGACCAAGCCAGGCAGAGACTCACCACTGACTTAGAGAAGGGACAGCACAGCTGTAGGTGGGCAGGAAAGGCCCCCAACTAACCACACCCAAAGTGAGGCTGGCCTTGAACTTCTGACTCTTCTGCTCCTACCTCCCAAGTGCTGGGATCATAAACATGGACTGCCACATCCAGTTTACATGGTGCTAGGGATCAAACCTAGGGCTTTGACACGCTAGGCTAACAGTCCACCTAGTTACATCCCTAAGCCCTGGAATCACTTTTATAATTGTGAAAACATCACATTGAGGAGCCAGCTATAACCATCTCTGGTTCATCCCAGCACAGCCCTTCAGTGGCAAGAGACAGACCAGGGAACGTGGGATTAGCTCCTCGGTACATACATCTAGGGGGCTGAGAGTGCACTGGAAGAAACAGCAGAAATGGCATCTTGGCTCCCACCCCAAGAACAACCCAGAGCTCACTCTCAGAAGACACCGCTGCAGTGAGTCAGGCTCAGCAGAGCTCCAACGGACTGGAGATTTTTTCCTAACTCAGTCATGCCTGGTGATACCAGAGGACAGGACCTTAGAAAGAGAGCACTGGACTCTCGACCCTCCAGTTTTGAACAAGGCTAGAGGGGGACACGACACCTTCTCTGTTGTTTCCTAATGGAGCTGGGAAGACCCTTCTACACAGGGAACCCTTTGGAAACAAATCTAGTATGCCCTTCCTACTTCTGGAAGGGAAGCATGTGAAGAATTTATTTTGGTTTTTTGAACAGGGTTTCTATGAGTAGCTTTGGTTGTCCTGGAACTCTTTCTATAGACCAGATTGGCCTTGAACTGGCCTGCCTCTGCTCCCCAAGGGATTAAAGGCCTGTTCCACCACCTAGGCTGGCCTCGAACTCGTGATCCTCCTACCTCTGACTTCTTTAGCAAATCCTACTGGCATGTTCCACCAAACCAATTTATTTTGTTTTTTGAAAAAAAATCACTATATTTCTTTACTAATTTTGGGTGTGCACTTGTGCCATGATGCCCATGTGGAGGTCAGAGAACAATTTACACGAGCTAGTGCTCTCCTTCCATCACGTGAGTCCCAGGGATCAAACTTAGGTCAGAAAGCTTGGTGGCAAACACCTTTACCTGCTCAACTATCCTGCCAGACCCTGAGCAATTTTAAAGTGACAGGAAGTCAGGTGTGATGTGCGCTTCTAATCCCAGCACTGGGGAAGCTGCTGCAAGAGGGGCGGGAATTGATGCTCAGCCTTCTGCGTTATCCTTCAAACTCACAGCCAGTCTGGGCTAGATGAAAATAAAAGCAAAGTGACAGAACACTTCTCAGCGGCCTTAGACATACCACCCCCAACTCTGAAAGGCTGGTCTCTTAGACTCTACCCTAATTTGGGATCAGAGATCTTGGGTTTCAACCCACATCTCAGGTTCCCTATCAGAAAAGGAGAAGTTAGACTAAAGGGCTTCTCAGCTCCTTCCCAGCTCTGACCTTAGCATAACTCTTAGCAGAATAATGTCAATAATGGCTGTGCACTATTACAAATGTATCATACCCAGACGCAAACCCAAGATGAGCTATATCTTAGAAGAGCAATTAAAAAGTCAACTAAGGATGCAGGCAAGATGGCTCAGTGGGTGCAAGCAATTCACACACAAACCTAACGACCTGAATTTAATCTCTGGATTCTACGGTAGAAGGAGAGAACTGAATTCTGAAAATTTCTTCTGACCTTCATACCTATACCACTGCACACGCATGCCCGCAAACACACACATACACACGTGCACTCACTGCAAAAATAACACAATACTAGCAGGATATAATGACCCATGCCAGTAATTCTAGCCCTCAAGAGGCAAATGTAGAAGGATCAGGAATTCAAGGCTAGCCTGTGCTACAATAGTGTGTCTACATGTAGTGTACCAACCAGGCAAGTGCTAAGGCATCAGACAGTCTCAGATTTAAAATAAAAAATAGACCCAAGAAGTAGTGATGCACACCTTTAGTCCCAGAGCTCGGCAGGCAGAGGCAGGGAGATCTCTATGAATTTGAAGCCAACCTGGTCTACAGACTGAGTTCCAGGATAGTCAGGACTACATAGAGAAATCCGGTCTTAGAAAAAAAAAAAAAAGAATCCCTTATAATTGAAATAAAAAGCAATCCAATTATGAAATAGGCAAAGAACTATATAGATGTTTCTTTTTGTGTAATTTTTATTTTATATATTATTATCACAGGCACGAATGCAGATGCATTTGGGTCAGGGCACATGCATTCATACTGAAAACAGAGGACCATTCTAAAGGGTTGGTTCTCTCCTTCTATCATGGGTTTTGGAGATCAAACTTGGGTTTCCAGACTTATACAGCAACCGCTTTTACCTCCTGAGCCATCTCACCAGTCCTATAGACATTTGTTGAGGATTTATGAAACAGCTGGTGCTGAGGATGTAACTAAGTTGACAGCCCGTCTGCCTAGTATACATGAAGCATTGGGTTTGAGCTCCAGGACAGCATAAACTGGGGAGGGCAGCACAGTCTAAAATCCCAGCACCCAGAGGCAAGATCATCATCCTTGAATACACAGTAAACTTGAGAGTAACCAGGATAAAAAACTGAAGAAAGGAAGGAAGGGAGAAGAAGGGAGAGGGAGCCATACAGCCATATACAACAGCGCATGAAAAGATGCACAATGTCACTTGGTATGCAACCAAACAGGTGTATCCACCAACAGACAAACAAAATGTATCTTTCTGTGTGCCTAGCTATCTAACTAGCTAGCTACACAGTGGGAAATTTCTCAGTCATAAAAAAGAATGAAGTTCAGGTGCATGCCACAACATACACTTTGAAATCATTTTTACACAAAACAAGTCTGACACCATAGGACTAATTTTGTAGGATTCCATTTGTATAAAATTATCTACAATTGGTAAATTCATAAACACAAAATGTAATCAGGGACTGGGAAGAAGAGGGTAGTTTGTTTGAGTGTCTCACTTGGTAATCCTGACTGGCCTTGAACTCAAATTTATCCACTTGCTTCTACCTCCTGAGTGCTGGGATTAAAGATATGTGCCACTATACTCAGACTGGAAATAATTATTATTCAATGGGATAATAGAAGTCTTAGAAATAGACAGTAGCAATGGTTATTCAACATTGTGACCCTAAATAATACCACCGAATTACACATTAAAGACAACAAACAAGACAGGCATAGAGGCACACCCCTCTAATTCAGGCATATCTCTCAGAGCTCGAGGTCAGCCTAGTCCCTAGAGTGAGTTTGAGGACAACCAGAGCTACATAAAAAAGAATAAAATTAGCCAGGCTTGGTGGTGCACTTTAGTCCCAGCACCTGGGATGAACAGGCAGCCGGATCTCTGAGTTTGAGGCCCTCCCAGTCTACAGAGCAAGTTCTAGGACAGCCAGGAGGAAAGCAAAGGAAAAGGAAAAGGAAAGGGAAAAAGAAAGAAGAAAAGAAGTAAGCAAGCTAAAAAAAAATAAAGCAGAAAAACAGCCGTTTATGTTGAAGATTGTCAGCGGTCACACCCTTTCAGCTAGGCCAGCCGGCAGGAGTCACACCTGGCCTTTCCAGATAAGACAGGTGAGGTCTGGCGCAGAGCGCAATGGGAAGCTTGGAGCGGCCTAGACTCGGGTGTGTGTCGGGGCCAGAAGAAGAAGCCCCTCTGCTCGTACAGAACAAATGAAAATAGTGAAAACACAGGCCCAGCTCTTCTCACTGTCTCTCAATTTCTTCTCGGAGAAAAGGTAGAGTTTTTTGTTTGTTTGTTTTTGGTTTTGAGACAGGGTGTCTCTGTGTAGCCCTGGCTGTTCTAAATCTTGGTCTGTAGACCAAGCTGACCTCAAACTCCAAAGCTAGAATTAAAGGCATGCGTCAAAACCGCCTAGTAGAAGGTGGATCTTATGGGCACTTTAAATAATGGTGGTGCACGGTTTTAATACCAGCACTCGGGAAGCAGAGGCAGGCAGATCTCTGTGAATTAAAGGCTAATTCCAGGACAGCTAGGGCTGTTACACAGAGAAACCCTGTTTCCAAAAAACCAAAAACAAAGAATAATAATAATGACTCTGGCCGGGCAGTGGTGGCACACACCTTTAATCCCAGCACTCGGGAGGCAGAGGCAGGAGGATCTCTGTGAGTTCGAGGCCAGCCTGGTCTACAAGAGTTCCAGGAAAGGCTACAAAGCTACAGAGAAACCCTGTCTCGAAAAAAGAAAAAAAAGACTGTGTGTAAGGTAAAGGAACCAATATATTTTACTTTTAAGTCTAAGGCTTTAGACTTAAAAGTTCTATTAATAGGATAGCTCTGGTAGGAAGTGATGCAAAGGAAAAAACAAAAGGCCTGAGCCTGGGTACAGAGACAGCTCTGGGTAGCCGTGGGAAACTATGAGTCTATCTTCTCTAATTCAAAAAGGGGGGGGGGGGGCCTGGCTTCAGGCATCATGCCTTTACACCCAGTACTGGGGAGAGAGAGGCAGGTAGATCTCTGAATTCAAGGCCAGCCTGTTCTACAGAGTGAGTTCCAGGACAGCCGGGTCTACACAGAGAAACTGTCTTGAAAAATAAAAACAAAGGTGCAGCTCTCCAAAGAGCTCTGGGGAGATCACCTGACAGTTTCATCTTGATGTCTAACACTTCAGCCACAGCTCATCAGACTGGCAATCTTCTTCCTATCAGAGATTGCTCCAGACAAAAGAAATCAACGGCTTCAATAACAGAAGACTCTAGGGCAGTGGCTACAAAACACGAACTAGGTCTGAAATAAGAGCTAATGTTTGGCACTGGGGATTTCATTTCATAGTCTGATGAGCCCACTCAAAACCACAGACCATCATGGCACCAACTATGTGCATTTTGTTCCTCCAGCAACCATAGCCCACTGCCAGGAAGACATGTAGCTCACTTAGAGGAGGGGCATGATAGGTCCCGGGGTTATGGAAGGGGGGGGGGGGGAGTGTCAATCCAAAATGCAAAAAGGCCTCAGTCAAGATGTCCCATAGAGACATAGAGTATAGATGTCTCCAGGTTGCTCAGACATGGGCTCCTCTTCTTGTTCTGCTTTGTTTTGGGGTTTTTTTTGGCTTTTTAAAATATTTATTTATTTATTTTGTTATACAATATTCTGCCTACATGTATGCCTGAAGGCCAGAAGAGGGCACCAGACCTCATTACAGATGGTTGTGAGCCACCATGTGGTTGCTGGGAATTGAACTCAGGACCTTTGGAAGAGCAGGCAATGCTCTTAACCACTGAGCCATCTCTCCAGCCCCCTTTGTTTTGTTTTTTTAAAGATTTATTTATTATGTATATGGTGCTCTATCTGCATGTATGCCTGCATGACAGAAGAGGGCATCAGATCCCATTATAGATGGCTGTGAGCCACCTGTGGGCACTGGGAATTTAACTCAGGACCTATGGAAGAGCAGTCAGTGCTCGTAACCTCTGACCCATTTCTCCAGCCCCTGGGCTCCTGCTCTAAATGGTCAACGGTCTTAAAAACAAGTCTTGCACACGCCTTTATCCCAGCACTCAGGGAGCAGGTGGATCTCTGAGCTCAAGTCAAGCCTGGTCTACAGAGCAAGTTCCAGGACAGCCAGGGCTGTTAGAAAAAATAAATAAACAAAGTAACTATAACCACCACTGATAAGCAGCCAGCACTACAGTCCTAATGACACCAGAACACTGTATAAAAATGGTACATGCCAACTACGGACTGACTCTCGACTTGTGAGATATGACTTTGTTAGTAGAATGCAACCAAGCTGCCCCCTCTGCTGCTTCTCGGTACAACTCTACCTTGGCACTGTCCTGGAGGAGAGAAAACCTGAGCCCTCGGACCATCTAGATACCCTTTCTCTGCTGTCCGCTTCTCACCTCTGCCCCGAGGCTGGTGAATTTCATCTAGCGTTCAAAATGTGACCAAAAAAGTTCAAACTCCCTAGTATACTGTAATTAAGAAAAATCCTGGGGTTCTGTCTGGACCAGAATGGCTGCTTTTATCCATGTATGTATGCCCAGGAGCTGAGGGTCTAGCTGTATTTGAGCCCTGACATTTGTCATTCCTGACTGTCCTGGTCAGGGTTACTGTTGCTGTGATGAAACACCAGGACCAAAACAACTTGGGGAGGAAAGAGTTTATTTGGCTTACACTTCCACATCACTATTCATCATTGAAGAAAGTCAGAACAGGAACCCAAACCCAAACAAAGGAGGAACCTGGAGGCAAGAGCTGACACAGAGGCATGGACACAGTGCTGCTTATGGCTGGTTCCCCATGGCTTCCTCGTCTGCTTTTTTTCTTTTTTTTTTTTTCGGTTTTTCAAGACAGGGTTTCACATAGTTTTGGAGCCTGTCCTGGAATTCGCTCTTTAGACCAGAATGGCCTTGAACTCACAGAGATCCACCTGCCTCTGCCTTTACAGTGCTGGGATTAAAGGCCACTGTCCTAGCTTCAGTCTACTTTCTTACAGAACTCAGGACTACCTGCCCAGGGATGGCCCAACCCACAGCAGGTTGGACTCTTCACCAAAAATCACTATTTAAGGAGATGTTCAGTGGTTAGGAGTATTGGTTGCTCTTCCAGAGGACCCAGGTTCAATTCCCAGTACCCACATGGCAGCTCACAACTGTAACTCCAATTCCAGGGGATCCGACACCCTCATACAGACATACACGCAGGCAGAACACCAATGCACATGAAAAAAATTTAAAAATTAAAAAAATAGATAAAGAAAAGAAAATGCCCTACAGGCTTGCCTACAGCCTGACCTTATGGAAGTATTTTCTCAATTGAAATTTCCTCCTCTCAGATGACTCTAGCTTGTGTCTAGTTGATATGAAACTAGCCAGCACACTGCCCTAAAGTTTCCTGAAATCTCAAGACACCTTCTAAGACAAGGAAAGAGGCAAGAGAGTGAGCAGTGGGAAGAACTTTCTTGGCCCATCCCAAATTCCTACACAGTCCAGGGCATCTTATTCTAGCGTCTTGGGGACAGAAAGGCTCTCTCACTGCTCTATCACCAAGTCCTCCAGTCCAGAAATCAGCCATGACTCCACATTTTGGTCACAACCAAAACACTGGCAGTCCTGGAGCTATGAAGACACTCTGTTTGGATTCAGAAGGTCAGAGATCAGCTCTCTCTACTCTCAGACGCATCTTCTTTCCACCTTGCCCCCTGACCACACACAGACCTCCTCAGGACCCCTCTTTTCCAGTGTTCTGCTAAACTCATGCTCTCTGCTCAGCCTGACAAACCGTGGCTTCCCCTCTACCTGGGATTTTCCCCTTTGTACCAACCCATCTACAGTAATAAACCAAGCATTCCAGAGACCGAAGAAGCAACGGGGATGTGAGGAGGAGAGTATAGGAATTTCTCCTAGGAATTTCCCTAGAGGCTGACCCTTGACCAAGTAAAATTTAACTTATAAAGAACCCATGGGGCCAGAGTATGATGCTGTAGATGGATCTCTATGAGTTTGAGGTTAGCCTGGTCTACATAGCTCGGTCTAGGTTAGCCAAGGCCACATAGTAAGACCTTGTCTCCAAAAACACAAAAGAGAAAAGAAACAAACAAAAAACCAACCACTACCACCACCACCTATAGGGCAGTGATATGGCTCAGTGTATAAAGGAACTTGCTGAAAAGTCTGATGACCTGAATTCCATCCCCAGGACTCACATGATGGACGAGAACCTATTCTTTTAAATTGTCCTCTGACTTTGACACATGTGGTGTGTAATGTAGACACACACACACAAACATGAAAATAAAATAAATAGTAACCTAAAAAATTCAAGTGCTGCCAGGCAGTGGTGGCACACGCCTTTAATCCCAGCACTTGGGAGCAGAGACAGGCAGATCTCTGTGAGTTCAAGGCCAGCCTAGTCTACAGAGCTAGTTCCAGGACAGCCAGAGCTACACAAAGAAACCCTGTCTCGAAAAACAAAATAAAAACAAAAAGTGCCATACTCCCCATTCTGAGCTCATAGTTGGATGTAGATGGCAACTGGAAATGAGCAGGGAGCCCCCACCAGGAAAGTAATTTCCGCTTTTTCAACCCATGCCACAGCTACACCTCAAGATACCCAAACTAGTTTCTATCCACAATATAAGTAAGTCATATATCACCCCAGGAGGCTCCATAACCAGAAACAACACAGTGTTTGGAACTCGAGGAAAGATGAAGCCTAAAGTTCAGCAGTCACTTGTAGTCCCCAGCTTTGGGGTGCTCAGGGAAAACAGGACTCCACTGCTGCTGGCGCCTACTCCTCAGGACATACGGGCAGGCATTAGCCAGCCCACAGATAAACATGGAGCTTCAACAGCACTGAACCATGCACAGAGACCCGAATGAGAGGAGGGTATCCTGAATGAGAGGCCCAGCTGCAGGCTGTCTCTAGACTTGGTAGTTTTTACGACCAAAAAAGCGATAGGTAAGATCTTTACAATAGAGTGACTCCAGTCTCCATGGAAAATCATTTTGGGTGACCCTAACTCATGAGACAGAAATGTTTGGATGGCTGTGAAAGAGGAGGTGGCAAAATCAAACACCACATAAGTATAAGCAGAGAGTCACTCTCCCTCGGAAAGGACCACTCTATAAGAAAATCACGCTCCAGGTGAATGAAGAACCTAAACCACTGGCCCACACTGACAGAACTCTGAGCAGAGGCCTGGTAGACCAGACAGCGGTGTCTTCTGCCCTAGCCAGAGTCTGTACACACAACTGCCCTCAAAACAAAGTTCAAAACCTTTGGCCACAATACACAAGGGGTTTTCCATCTGGCCCCTACTTACTTAGTCCTTCAGTCCTGGCCCCAAATATTTTTTCTCCCCCAAACAAACATGGACTCTGTATAGTCCCAAGCTAGCCTTGAAGCCAAGCTGGATTCAAGTTTCAATCTTCCTGCCTCTGCCACGTGAGTGTAAGGCTCACAAGCGTAAGTCACCATCGCCAGGTCAGCCATCATCCCCAGGTCAGCCTACACACCTTTCTGCTCCTCACTTTGTTCACCTTGAGCATTCCAGATGCGCTTCCCACGGTCCGTCGCCATCTCTTCTATGAAGCATCCCCTAAACGCAGGGTGTAGAAGGAAACATAACCTCGGGGCCAACCAGATAGGGCACATACCATGGGCTAACAATTTCTCTGCCCGTGAGGTCACACACAGGGGTGTATCCCTCCTGTCTCTAGAAAGGCCTTGTGTCTGTGTTCCTGGAGCCCATACCTAGGACAGACAACGAGTGTTCAACCTGGTGTGTGGCATGAATGGGTGAGTGCACCGCTACATGACCAAGCAAGCAAGAGTTGGTTGACCGTAACCTATCCGGGGCCCTTGCTGAAGAGAACCCCACCTCTCCCTACACTACCTAGTGCTCTAGGCTAAGTCTGCTCTTCTTGGGTAGAGTCACCCATCACATGTCAGGAGGCCTCCGCCACCAGGATGATGTTACAGTCTATTTTGAGGGTCACACTGAGGCATCTGTCAGCCAGGACAACCACACCCTCCATGTGTCATCACTAAACGCTGGGGACACCCACAGGTCCATAAAGTGCCTACTTAACTTTCTGGAAAGACCAACACAGATGCTCCTTATCTCCTAGGGGCAGCCCTGGCGGGGCCTGAGACATCGCCTCACCCTATCAGACCTGCTCCCAAGGTCCACAACTCTGATGACTTGACAAAATCAGCCAAAGCCAACCAATCTATGCCAGGCTCTTAGTTCCTTCTACAGAGTCCTCCTCCTGCGCCCTGGCATGGAGCTAATTACCCACAAGACGCATGGATCCATGGGTAGTGCCTGCTGGGACTCCCACTCATCCCTCGCTGCAGTGCCCAGCTCTGCCTCCTCTGATGAAGGGCTCCTCTCAGGTCCACTCTCCACTGAGTAGGCCACAGGCGCCCTGAGGACAAGGCTGATCTATTGCTGGCTTTGCTTCTGCTCTCTTATATTTGGCACACAGGGATGAAAAAGAAAGAAAGAAAAGAAAAACTCTATAAGCCCCTTGAAATAAGCCTTTTTGTGGCACTTAGGAGACACTTGTTTGTACAAAGCAAAACTGACTCAAAAGAATTCCTACCCAGTAGGGCAGTGTTATGGAACCTGAGTTCCATTCCCAGCACCACGTCAGGCAGGTTACAGCTACCTGTAATTCCAGGTCCAGGGGACCTGTCATCATATTCTGCTCACATGCACATAACCCAACCACACACACACACACACACACATGCATGTAAATAAAAATAAAAACATAAAATCACTTAAATCGACCATGACAACAAAAAATGGACTCATACATACTTTAGGAACACACAACTCTACAGAAAAACAAGATTACAGAGTCAATGGGAGAAGAAGTCAGTCAAGGCCAGCACACAACATGCCCTGCTTCTCTAGCCTCGGTGTCTACGTGTGTCAGTCCTGTCCCTTGACATTGTGACCCTGCAGATCCAGCAGGCTGTTCCTGCACACCAGCCCAGAGAAAGAATGCAATAGCAGTAGTGCTGCGAAAAGTCAGCAACAGCCCAGGCACGTGTCTGGGATCAGGCAAGGACATCTGACAGGTTAGGCTATTCTATTGCACATCACAGGCCCAGCAGCCAAGGCAGGCCACTAAACAGCTCAAGGACTCACCCACAAAACAAGTTCATCACCATTTACTCTAGCCATTTTCTAGAGATGCTATGAGGCTCAAAGGAGACAACAGAGAAGTCTACAAAGCCAATAGCTACAGTTAATGCTGAGGACATCAATGAGACCTGGGTCAGAAATGTATCTCCAACGCCGATGGGGAGGAGTCAGTGTCTGCCTGTCCTACAACTTCTGTTGGCTTCCTCAAAAAACAAATCTGAACTATACTGCGTGGCTCATACCAACAACTGACATCTCAGCCACAAAAAGCCCTTCAAGGATTCCAGAAAGCAGCTGTGGGGAGCCAGTCATATACTCTCTCACCAGCTTACTACTTTAGCTGTCTGTCAACTGAAGCAAGCCACTACAGACACACATGACCTTTATACGACTGAGGCTTCCAGACCAACTCAACAACTGTATTCGCCATATGCAAAAATACTAAGACTAGAGCACAAGATCGTCACTCCGTTGGCAGAGGGCTTCCTAGTGTGTTTGAAGCCCTGGGTTCAATTCCCAGCACTAGATAAACCAAATGAGGTAGCATAGATCTGTTATCCTAGCATTGGGAAAGTGAAGGTTGGAGGACCATGAGTTCAAGATCATGCTTTGGCCACTTAAGAAGTTATAAGCCAGCCTGGAATACACGAAACTTTGTTATTTAAAGAGGGAAAAGGAGGGCTGGAGAGATGGCTCAGAGGTTAAGAGCATTGCCTGCTCTTCCAAAGGTCCTGAGTTCAATTCCCAGCAACCACGTGATGGCTCACAACCATCTGTAATGAGGTCTGGTGCCCTCTTCTGGCCTGCAGGCATATACGCAGACTGAATATTGTATACATAATAAATAAATATTTTTAAAAAATAAAAAATAAAGAGGGAAAAGGAAAAAAAAGTGCTGGGGTAAGAATCAGAGAAATATACTCCTCATTTCGCTGAAACAAGGTCTCATTATGCAGCCCTGGTTTAAAACCAGTCTGGCTTTAAACTCAGAGACCCACCTGCCTCAGCCTTCAGAGTCCCGTGACTCACACATGCACCACCACGCCCGGCTTTCACTGTTTTTAGACTTGTAGATAACACCACAGTATAAAGTCGCACACAGAGCTTTCTTCTCAAGAGCCATTGAAATTTAAAAAGTCAGTTAAAGGAATCCAGATTTCTAAGTTTAAACACTCCCCTTCTGAAAAGCTGTTCTTGTTTCTCACTAGCTCAGCCCTTATCTATGAGAAAGGGCTACAGAGAAGACACATTTTCCTCCCGACGAGTTTAAGAAATATGCCCCTGTCTCCTTGGCAATGTCAGAGTTCAACACCAGCATCTCAGTCAACACTGTAACTGTATTTGAGGTGTTTGTTTTAAGAGGTTATTCTCATTGATACTGGTTTCAACACATTAGATATATCCTACCAGATGGTGGAAAGAAATATTAAAAAGTTTTTAAGTCTTCCAAAATGTAAGTTTCCTATCTGCAAATGAAGCAGATGGAAATGAAAGCTAAAGATGCAACAGCTTCCCAGGATGAAAATTCTAAAGTCACTGAATGTTAAGGCAAAGCAGTTTAGATGCTTACTGAACTTCCCAGAATGACAATGAAGAGACAAGCCCCAGGATGTGCCCACACTCACAGAGTCCTCCTTGGCTAGGAAGCCACAAAGTCACTGAGAAAGCAGGGAGGTTCTGTTTCCAACAGTCCTTCCCCAGACTCAGCCTCATTTTTGCTTTTTGTTTTGAGACAGGGCCTGGCTGTCCTGGAACTCTCTCTATAAACCAGGCTGGCCTCAAACTCACAGAGCTATGCTTGCTTCTTCCTCCCGAGTGCTGGGATGAAGGGCCTGCATCATCACATTCAGTTCAGTCTCAGTTTCTAAACCTGGCATTTTGCACACAACACAAGGAACACAGTTAGGAGAAAAAATTATCCCAAATGCTCAAAAACACACACTCGGGTCCGTATGATTGTCATTGGCAGGGTTTGCAAATTTCCCATAACAAACCTAAGGTCTGATTTAAAAAGCCTGTCCCAAGATAGTTATAGTCACATTATCTCATAGCTTGAACATCTGTTTTATTACAATTACTAGGGAGAAAAGGAGACCGGGAGAATAAGGAAGAAGACAACGAGCCAGGTGATAGTGGCACACGCCTTTAATCCCAGCACTCGGGAAGCAGAGGCAGGCGGATCTCTGTAGGTTCGAGGCCAGCCTGTTCTACAGAGCAAGTTCCAGGATAGGCTTCAAAGCTACACAGAAAAACCCTGTCTCGAAAAACCACTAAGAAAAGATATCCCCTCTGATGCCTTGTGTCTACTTAAGTCAGACTAAAATAGGGAGTCTCCCTAATGCTAAGTTTAATAAGTCCTTCCTAAAGCTGGTTCAACTGGTGTTCAAGTCCCTGGACTGAAAAACAAGTTTATGAGCAGCAAGGTCACCTGACTCTGACCATGCATACACTGTTTATCCAGATGACAGTGGCCACTACAGCTTTGATGAATGCTACACAGACTCTATTATTCCTTTGAAGTTTACTGAGGCCTCTACATGACTAAATGCCATAAAAAAGAACCTCAACCTCAAAAGGAGAGAAGTCACAAACACCACATGCTAGCAGGGGAAACCCCATTTGGCCTCTGAATTGTTAATGTATACTTGTTACTTATATCCCTGATCTGTTACTATCTAATTACAATACTTTAAAAAAAAAAGAAATGTCCTCTGCTCAACCTACAATGTGCCTACTGCTATCAAGGCCCACTGTTTAGACCAACCAGACCACGTTCACACTTAGGGGAGAGTAGCCCAGATCCAAGTGGGTCAGCAGGCTAACCTCAGTCACTAATACCAGTCAGGAACTTCAAACTCATGACAAGACGGAGCACCAGTTCTGTGTTGGGGGGGGAGGGGGAGGAGAGTAAAGAGGGCTTTACCCATCTCTTCCTTTGCTGACAATCTTCACTTCAAAATAGTAAATACCGCAGGCGGCAGGGATGGGGTGGGTGGCACGCACCGAGGCTGCGTCTTTGTGGTTTTTGCCATGACCTGATGTAAAAAGGCAAAGAAGGAATGTCAACACCAGAAAAATGCAAAAATAAGCCTCCTTTATCTCTGTGCCATAGTAACTTCAACCCTCCTTTGCCAGAGAAGCTCTTGTGCTGGCCAAGAAATTGAGTAAACACAAAAGCCTCCCACCTTTAGATCAACTCCACCCCAGACCAACCAAGTGTCCTGACCATGATACTGTCCTCCATAACAAAACAAGGGTACACACAGGCAACTAGGGTACATGTGAGACTCTGAACACTGCTGTCTGTCTTTCTAGAATCCAAATGGCCCAGTCTGGAACCCGGGAAAGGAAGTGGCAGAAATGGAAGTCACCACTACCAACAACTTTAGCACACAACCCCCAGGCCAGTCTGGGAAGACTAGCAGGCAGGCAGCCCGTGCACCGCCTGTGAGAATGTTAACACCTCTTTTTGCTAACATTACCGAAACTAAGCCATGGTAAAGGGCCTAGCTGAGGTTGGAGCCAGCTCAGGACAAGAAGGGAGGCCCTAAAGTGGAAGGTCTTGCCCAACACTGGTTTAGGACATTTAACTGTAGTTCCCTTAAAGTCGGCTGTTTCAGGACAGAGGAAAGGAAGCAGGTAAACCATGGCCTGGCCAATCCCTCTACTCTGGACATTCCGCTGGGCAAAGGCCCAAGTCAGAGAACCCGGCAAAGAAAGGGACATGATGGTCACAGCCTCCTTGCAACAATCTGGACTGTCTCCCAGCGGCCAGACCCGCTGATACCTTTGTAGTGGACCCGGAGGTTTCCCTGGGAGAGGCCGATGTAGTTGTACTTGTCCTTGGGGCTCCAGGATCGCGGCAGTGGCGTTTCGTGCTGATTGACAGCAGGGTACAAGCGCTGCAGGCGCCGGCTCAATTCCTGCTCCCCGGGTGACGGTAGCCCGCCCCCTGCATCCCCACCGGAGGAGTCCCCAGTCTGCGGGTTCCCAGCCCCCGGGTCTGCCGTCGCCGCCGCCATCTTGGAAGGAGCTGCTATTGTGTCACTGGGGGCGGGGAGGAGTGCAACAAGATCTGCCTTACTCAGCCAATGGCCTGTGAGCATCCCAGGGCCGTAGGGAAACTGAGTCCGAATCCGTGAGCCCTTCTTTGGACACAACTATGCTTCGCCAGATTATAGACTACATATCCCACAATACAGAGCGCTCTAGAAGCAAGCCAACGCGAGTTCCTGGAGAACTTCGGGAGATGTAGTACAAGCCTGCTCACCTACAAGCCCGTTTAACGGAGACTACGAATCACTGGAAACTACCAGTCCCAGCCAGCCAAGTGACCAGGCCTCGAAGCTCCCCTCCTACGACCACAGTCTCAATTTATTCTCCTGTCTCAGTTCTGTATCTGATATCAAACTTATTGCACTGATTGGTTCTCAGAACATCTTGTCTCCGGGTCCGAACCTTTCTTTACTTTTTGGCCTGTCTCCAGAGTGCTCTTGGGGAGCTGGAGGCGTGTCGCGTTCGAGACCCCGCCCTCACCGCGGAGGCCGCTGGGGGCAGGTCCCCATGGCAACGGACTGTACACTACTGCAACGGAGCTAGTTTGCCTCTGCTCCAAAGTCATGGCCAACCCCGAGACTCGCTACTACAGTTTCTCCAAGCCGAGGTAGCACCTGGCCGGGCCGAGGGCGGGGAGGACTTGAGTACTTCCAGAGTGGGAAATGACACTGATCCAGACCGCTGCACCATCAGTTGGTCTCTGTTCTTTGGGCTAGGGCTCCAGCGACACAGAGTCAGTGATACAGAAACAGTTGTAATAGAATTGGGACTGACTCCAGTAGGAACGTTACGTGCTGCCAAAAGTGCGGGCGTACTTTATCGTCAGATACATGATCTTAGCAAAAGATTGAAAAGCGAAGCGTCTTAAAGCCGGGCGGTGGTGGCGCACACCTTTAATCCCAGAACTCAGGAGACAGAGGCAAGAGAATCTCTGTGAGTTCGAGGCCAGCCTGGTCTACAAGAGCTAGTTCCAGGACAGCCAGGGCTACTACACAGAGAAACACCGTCTCAAAAAACCAAAAACCAAAACCAAACCAAAACAACAACAACAAAAAAAGCTCTTGTATATAAGAAGCATTCAGTGTCTAATGAATATTATTTCCCGCCTTGTGCTCATTCCCAGTATTGGAGGATCATCTCAACTTTAATCTTTCAGGGTCTGCTGCCTTGATAGAAAAAGATTACAAAGGCAGGGAGTGGTAGCTCACACCTGTAATCCAAGCACTGGGAATGCAGAAGCAGGCAGATCTCTGTGAGTTTGAGGCCAGCCTGGTCTACAGAGCAAGTTCCAGGACAGACTCTAAAACTACACAGAGAAACCCTGTCTCGCAAAAAAAGAAAAAAAGAAAAAAAATAATCTACACGAAAGAGGCAGCAGGTTGAAAAAGAGAGCTGTTATCCAATGAAACATAATCTAGAAAACTTATTATCTATAAAAAAATATGTAATAAGACTGGGCTGTAGCTAGAATGTGCCAGGTCCTGGATCCCCCAGCAACACAAAGATATGAAACAGACTCAGGATCTTCATTCCACAGGAAGGAAGCACAATATCATTTCTGTGAGCTGATTTGGTGGCAATATGAATATTTATCCACCATTCTCTTCTTCCAGCTATATGTAGTGACACACTGTTTCCCTTATAAAGACACAGTGTGGTTTCCTCCTCCAGACCTTATGAGGGACTACAAGACGGACAGATCATACCTTAGCATGCAGAATGTAAGCAGAACCTGAGAAAAGAGACCTCTGATTTTTCTATTTCCTCAGGGAATGGTTCATCTCCCATGGGTTTTTCTCCTCTTGTTCGCATATCCCTACATGATACTTTAGTGGAATGTCTGTGGAAGTCACTCAATCCCAAGAAAAATTCTTGAGGAACCATTTCCTTCAGTCAAATAACTGAGTTTTCACCACCATTGAGATAGAAATGTAAATATTTTCCACTCTTCCTTGAGGGTGGGTGTAAATCATTTCTAAAAAGATGGGCTCCTAACTGGGCGGTGGTGATGCACACCTTTAGCCCCTGTATTCAGAAGGTAGAGGTAGATGACGCTCTGAGTTTGAGGCCAGCCTAGTCTACAGCGTGAGTTCCAGGAAAACTAGGATTACACAGAGAAACCTGTCTTGGAAAAAAAAAGTAGAGAGCCTGGGAGATAACTCATCAAGTTACGGATTGCCTGATAATCCAACTCTGATCCCAAGTCCCATGTGGTAGAAAGAGAACACTCATCCCAACAGGTTATCCTCTGATCTCCCTCCCCTGTGTACTGTGGCTCGTGTAAGTATACATGCATGCAGAGAGAGAGAGAGGAGAGAGGAAGGAAGGTAGGGAGGAAGGAAATTTTAAAAATTAGAGACTGGATGGAGCTGCAGAGATGGTTCTCCCCCAAACAAATTTTAAATAAGAAAAGTACTTAGAAATTAAAAATAAATAAAATAACGAGTATCTATTTGGGTTGTGTCTCTACTGGGTGTGCTTGGTTTTCATTTTGGTTAAATCTAGTTTTTATGTCCAAAGTTAACAGGTATCACCTATTGAACTTTTCCATTTGGAACTTTCTCCTGATTTCTAGAGATCTACAAAGTTTTCCTAATTATTTCCCCTTTCATAGTGGTTACAGTATGATCAAAAGCAGAATTTTTCGGGAGGCAGAGGCAGGTGGACCTCTATGAATTTGAAACCAGCCTGGTCGACAGAGTAAGTTTCAGGACAGCCAAGGCTACACAGAGAAAGCCTATTTCAAAAAAATCAAAACAGGGGGCTGGAGAGATGGCTCAGTGGTTAAGAGCACTGACTGCTCTTCCAGAGGACCTGGGTTCAAGTCTTAGCACCCGCATGGCTGCTGAACTGTCTGTAACTCCATCCTCACATGGATATACATGTAGCAAAACACCAATGCAAATAAAATAAAAATAAATTATATATATAAAAAAATCAAAACAGAATTTTGACCAGGCATTTAGTGCATGCCTGTGATTCTGTGACTCAGGAGACTGAGCCAGGAGGCTTACAAGTTCAAGAGCATACTGAAATACATAATATGACCTTATCTCAAAAATTAAAGACAAAAGCTGGCCAGTGGTGGCACATACCTTTAATCCCAGCACTCAGGAGCTAGAGGCAGGTGGATCTCTGTGAGTCTGAGTCCAGCCTGGTCTACAGAGTGAGTTTCAGGACAAGGTCCAAAGCTATACAGACAAACCCTATCTCCAAATAAATAAATAAATAAATATAAAAGAAAGAAAGGAAGGAAGGAAAGAAAGAAGGAAGAAAGAAAGAAAAAAGGGGGAAAAAAGACAGGCACAATGGTTTATGCTAGTAATCCCAGAGCTCAGGAAACAAAGGGAGGAAGATCACTACTAGGTCAGCCTGGTCTCTATCGTGACCCAAAATACATACTAAGAACCATGTCAAAAATAAGTAAATAAATGAATACATTTTTAAAAACAGAATTTGGCATAGTGACTGATCTTGAGAGAAAGGTATTAATTAACTCAATAAGCAGATAAAGTTGTTGCATTGTATCTTGTTGCTTTCCGATATGTGTCTTTTAACAACAAGAAACCAGAGGTGGTGGCACATGCCATTCATCCCAGCACTTGGGAGGCAGAAGCAGTCTGATATCAGTGAGTTCGAGGCCAGCTTGCTCTACAGAACAAGTTCCAGGACAGTCAGGGCTACACAGGGAAACCTTGTCTTGAAAACAAAACAAAACAAAAACCAGTATTGGAGATTGAACCTGAATCTCATATATATTCTGTCACTGAGGTATATCTCACTCATATTTAAACTTTACAAAACTATGAGAAACAGGGTAAGAATTATCTGTTTCTTTAGGAGACAATTAATTTGACTTAAGGAGGTTAAATGATTTGCCCAAAGTTGGTCCTTTTGAAACCTCAGAGGCCATTAAACAATGCCCTCTTCTGGACCATGCCGGCACCTATACTTCCGCATGCTCAGACTCACACAAAAATACATACACATACACACAGTTTAAAAAGGAAGAGGAAGCCAGGCAGTATGGGGGGGGGCGTGCTCTGTGGATCACGGTTGGGGGGGCTTGTCCCTTTACAGGCTCCGTCACCTATCACAGCTTCTTGTCCATGCAGAACACGTACTCGATCTTCAGGAGGGACTGCAGAAACCAGGGGCATTGAGAATCGCAAGCTCTCTCAGAAACGAATAACACTGGTCAGTGATGCTCTTTTGGAACTGTCCTTGTCCACCCTCTACAACCCGCCTTCTGCCTACAGCACACTAGTTTCTTTTAGAGGAGTGTGGCTCACAGATGCCAGGCTTGCCAGGCTTTGGGGGTGGAGGAGAGGACATACTGCTTCCTCCCCCTGATCTAAACGCTGGCCATGACTAACCCTGGATAAAAAGACTTAGCCCCTTCCCTTAACAGCCGCTCAGCTTTTCTTCACAAGCCTGCCGTGGACTAGACGCGACGCTGGTGTGATTGAGACCAGCGCCAGTCAAGGTTCTTTAGTGCTGTGGCGGTGCCTTTTTGTCTTTTTCGTCCTAGGTCTGATACAGGGCTTGGGTTCCATCAGTCCTTATGAACAAACATGTGAAGGCAGAGCACCGGGTGTTTTCCTGCTGTGTTTTGGTTCTGAGTTCCTCACTCCTCCTCTCTAAGGTTTTTGTAGAGATCACAGTGACTCACACCTGTAACTTCAGCCCTTGAAAGGCCGAGGGAAAAAAAAGCTGCAAGTTGATTTGTTTTGGTTGGGTTTGGTTTTTGTTTTTTTGAGACAGGGTTTCTCTGTGTAGCTCTTGCTCTCCTGAAACTCGATCTGTAGACCAGGCTGGCCTTGAACTCAGATCAGCCTTCCTCTGTGTCCCTGGTTGTACTGAGATTAAAGGCTTGCGCCACCACCGCTTTAATTCCTTTAAGACCTTTTTAAAAAATTTGTATAAAAATTAATGTGGTCGGGGGCTGGAGAGATGGCTCAGTGGTTAAGAGCATCGCCTGCTCTTCCAAAGGTCCTGAGTTCAATTCC